CTCTCTCTCTCTCTCTCTCTCTCTCTCTCTCTCTCTCTCTCTCTCTCTCTCTCTCTCTCTCTCTCTCTCTCTCTCTCTCTCTCCTCTCTCTCTCTCTCTCTCTCTCTCTCTCTCTCGACGTTTGATCACACGAGATCACCAGAGCGACAAGCTGGCACATGCACATCTCAAACGTTTTCTTTCTACGTCTTTCAATTATCTCTCATCGAGATTTTATATTCCTTTACTCCTTTTGATCTTAGCTCTAAGATTTATTTAGGTCTAAGATTAATTTTAGATATTGTAAAATAGTTTAGATTCATTTTATATGAATTTTAAATTTGTTAATTTTATTTAATTTTTCTATTTTATTAATTTATTTAATTTTGCTATTTTATATCTGAAATAAGCAATAAATGAATTTCTTATTGCAAGATTACAAAAAAAAATTTTTTCTATTTTTAATAGAATTTTCTAGTTCTAAATTTTAAATACTATAAACGTTAAATAATATTAAAGACAATCAATCTAACTTTTCAAAATATCGTATAACAGAAATCGTATATAAAAATCTTAATCAAAAACAAAAGTAGATAGAAAAATATTGACTTAGACAATTATCTCGCGTCAAGATTTTATTCCTATTTTTAAGTTTACAATTAATTTTAATTCATTCATAGATTCTAGAATATTGCGATAAAAATTCATTTTATATAAATTAAATAAAATTAAATAAAATTCATTTTATATAAATTAAATTCCTACTTTGCATGTAAAATAGCAATAAACGCGAACAATTTTCTAATTTAAGATTCAAAAGAATTTTCAACTGTTTTTAATAGAATTTTGTGATTCTAAATTTTAATTAGGAAGCATAGATATTAAATTATTAAAGAAAATCAATCTAACTATTCAAAGTATCGCATAACAGACGTAGAAATTTTAATTGAAGATAAAAGTAGAAGAAAAATATCGACTTAGGCAATTTCCCTCGTGTGAAAATTTTACTTTTATTTTTAACTTTACAATTAGTTTTAATTTATAGTTTCTAGAATATTGTAATAGAAGTTCATTTTATATGAATTAAATTCCTACTTTGTATCTGAAATAATAGTAAACGCGGACAATGTTTTAATTTAAGATTCAGAAAAGGAATTTTCGACTATTTGTAATAGAATTTTATGATTTCAAATTGTAACTAGGAGCTGTAGATGTTAAATAATATTAAAGAAAATTCATCTAATTGTCCAAAACATCATAACAGATGTAGAAAATCTTAAGTGAGAGTAAAAATAAGAGAAAAATATTTAGAGAGTTATCTCCCGTCAAGATTTTATTCCTATTTTTAAGTTTACAATTTTAAGCTTATAGATTGTAGAATGTTGCGTTAGAAGTTCATTTTATATAAATTAAATTCCTACTTTGCATCTGAAATAGCAGTAAACGCGAACAATTTCCTAGATTAAAATTCAAAAGAGAAATATTCAACTGTCTCTAATAGAATTTCGATCATAAATCCTAACTAAGAGCTGCAGGTATTAAATAATATCAAATATCAATCTGAATGTTCAACGTATCACAACAGATAAAATGTAGATATTTTAATTGAGGTCGAGGACAGATAGAAATATTTCGACTCGGGGACAGTTCAAGTGTCCGGGAATATAAGATATCAATTATACTATGACTTATTGGGTTATTACGTATTCTCGTACATAATTTAATTACAATTTTACTTCCAAGCTGAGGAAAGCAAAAATATAAACGGATCAGTTAGATTCGGATATACTCGGACTCGGTCTTCCGACGAAATATTTACTTATGCGCGACTGTCATACATCATCGTATCTGGTTGGAGTCAGGTATTGTCAGGGGTTTCGTAGCCGCCTCTCGTCGAAGCATTGACATCACGCCCACATGTGATACAGTCAGCACACACGTATCTGTCCATCGTTAAATTGATCGTCCATAAAAATAGTCGGAAACCCTTTACCGCCGACCGTAGGTAGGTTAAAGGCCAATCCTTCCGTCCTCCGTTCTCTCCCCTTTTCTCGAGCGCCGGCAGGGATTTCTTCGGCCACAGAGATTGTGAATCGCGAGTCAGAAATAAATCCCCACTTTCGTATTCCGTTCGCGTGGACTGCGCAAAGTCGGCGCCCCCCGTACATGTGTACGCGGCACATGTGCAACGTGCAAGCGCCCGTGTTATTACGCCGGTAGAATCGCGTGTGAAAGCGCAGCCCGCAGACGACGATCGCGCGGAACGGCTTTGATAGAGTCGCCGACCCAATCCCCAGATAACGTCGGACGATTAAATTCGCGACGTGGGATCGCGTGTGCGTTTGTGTGGGTACACACACGGCCAATCTCGTTCGATAAGTCCTTTCTACAACACTCTAGTACTAGCTAACGTGAGTAAGGCCCGGTTGCACCGAAGAAAAAAAATTGCATTTTTTTGCCGATAGTCATTAGACGCGATAATGGAGTAGCGAAACGAGAGAGAGAGAGAGAGAGAGAGAGAGAGAGAGAGAGAGAGAGAGATCGTGACAGAGATCGATTACATGTCGAACGCAGAACTGCGTTCGAAGGACATATTCATGTTCATTTACTTCGAAGGATTTCCAGGATTTGGATACGATTACATCAACAATTACATTTGGCTTTAAACGAGACTTAAACGTATATCCGTCTATCCGATATATCTTTATCTTTCTTTTTAAATAAATGAAGGTAGATACACATTTAAGTCTCGCTTAAAGCCAAAATAACGAATGCAAATCGAGCCTAAATCGTTTGAAGTGAACATGAATATATATCCTTTGAACGCAGCTCTGTGCAACAACATGTAGTCGATCTACACGACGCTCTCTCGCTTTGCTATTCTTTTATCGCGCCTAATGAATGTCAGCATAAAAAATGTACTTCTTCTTTTCTTATCCGTCTAAAGGAAAGAGTACTCACCGGAAAAAATGGAAGCAATGGCTGCGATAATGAATGAGAAGACGACACCAGGTCCGGCAACGCTGCGCGCCACCATTCCTGCGACAAGGTACATCCCTGTCCCGACGCAGGAGCCAACTCCTAAAGACGTCAGGTCCAGAGTCGTCAGGCACTTCTGCAAACAATAACAGTTTTGGAAATGTAAAAAACATGTACGTGTCGTTAAAGAGGAATAACGATGAAACAATGTCGTTTCCAATTATTTATTCTCAGAGAGAATCATTTATTTATTGTTCATATGATTCCTAAGAAAGCGTTTTTAAGCGTTTAACGGCGAAATAATCTGCACATTACTTTCAATGATTCATTCAATTTTATCGACATCAAATTGCACTTTACAACATGGTAATCTATTTTCGCGAACTAGAAAGCAGAAATATATTATTCGTTATTTTATCCGAAACAATTAACCTAAATAAAAAATAATTCCAGAGAACGAATTCATTTCTATATTATATATCGGAAATTGTTTTCCCTAAATTTCTTTTGCAATCAAAATAATTGACTCAGATTAATTATTGTTCAAAATATCATTTTTTCATATTTCATATATTTTTTTGCAACAAATTCCCGTATTCAATTTTTACTTGGTCATTTCCCTTTTAAAAAATCGGCGAATTGTTGTGGAAAAATATTTGATGTTGTGCCACCATTATCGTCGATCGTAACTCGCAACTCACTGGTCTAAATGCGTAATGGTACAGTAAATAATGTAGCGAGCGATAGAAAAGAGCGAGAAACGTGACCTTTCGTCGCCGCTGCAACTTTGCAGAAAGATCTAGGCGGGATCTTTTCGCGGTATTTTGCAACCGTATGCACCTTTGAAGTTAGAATAGAAACAATTGCGTGTCTTCTACTCGACTTCTCCCTAGAATGTCAGTGCCATTTTTGCATCTCACCTCCGATAATTATTAATAAACGCGAAGCCCTCCGAGTGCCAGGAGGGGGGATTGATTCTTCCTCACATCAGCTATGGGAGTGGCTAAAATGCCCGGCGCGGATAAAAATAAGGCGATCCGGCGAAGAGTTTCTCTTGGCAAGTACATATCATGCGGTGTTATTAACATTACAGACGATTGGGATCGAAAACCTATGAATCTTAAACAACAAGTTAGAGATAAAAGCCAAACAAGAAAGAACTAGCGCTGTTAATGGTGTGGAATATCTTTGTGATATACATCTTCCTCAGTCAAATAATCGAGATCATATTTTTCACAACAAATTATTTATAGATTTTTTTTTTAAGTGCTCATTAACATCAGTAATATTAAAATTCATTATCGATCAATAAAGGTCAATTTCAGTTTTAGCTGAAATTATTAGTTTCAAGACAAATAATAATCGGCACTTGATCTCTTAGATCTGGAAAACGTGTAAAATATAACATTATCGACAATGTTGACTCTTATTTATCTCTCACTTATTTAAATAATTTCAAGAGTCTTTATATATGTACTTTATTCGATTTCCTTCGGCTTCAAGTGACACTTTTTTTTATTGCGTGTAATTCATATTACTTCACGCGGATATAAATTGGATATATCCGTTCTGATTATTACCTAATCAAATACATTTACGACTTAAAATTAACTGACGCGCCACATGGCGAGGCATTCTCTTTTTGCCTTTATTGCAACGTTATCTCGAAAGACAATAATGCTATTAACAATACTACCTTTGCTTATTGCCTAGTGGAATTGAGTGCGATCACCTTTTACGATTATTAGAAAACGGTGCTGTTTCAGATTATAGAATTAGTTCTCGCGATTAACGATTTGCAATGCTATACGTATTGAAAACAAATATATCCTGTAATTTCTGTCAACTTGGACAACAGAAATTGAGACGATATTACAGAATAAAACTATAATTTTTTAAAAACTATGATTTTTTTTATTACACTTACTCGTATGATTCTCAAATAGATATTGCATCGCATTTCGAATTTTTTGTTTATTTAAAAATAGTTTGTTGTTAAAAATAGTCTGTTACGACTTTGGATGAGACGAATAAATCGTCAAATGATTAATGATATTCGAACGTTTAATGAAATATTTTGTATATATATCGCATTGCGTGCAATTAATGTCGCGAGTGTCGTGCAAGCTGTCACACAATCTTTGCATTGTGATGATTAATTAACTGCATTCTCATTATATGTATGAATGTGCGTGTGCGCATTCTCATTATATGTATGAATGTGCGTGTGCAACAGAGGAATCTGTGGAGCATCGAGCGATGACGAAGCAACTATGAAGTGATTGGGTATAATTAATCACTTATATATTACTCGTTATTTGCGAGATTATTAGCAAAATTATCTGTTTTTGTGTTTATCTCAATTGTTTGTTTAAATTAATTATAAAACAAGTATACGTTGTTTTATAAAAGATTATGTAAAAGTATTTGAGAATGTATTACCTATATATTTTATAATTTTTATATTTACAATGAAAAAATTATAAAAGATTCCAGATTATTTTAAATCACGTTTAAAGATAATACAAAAACGTTTGACGGCGATTTAGAATATGAATCAAAAATCATTTAAATATAAAATATACTTTAATAGAAATATAATTAAGACATAATGACAAAAATCTTAACTTTTTTATATAAGTGCTTTAAGATGATTAGAATGATAAAATAACGCAAAAAATTTTGTGATTCGTAAAACTTGGATCAAAAGTTACTTAAATATAAAGTAGAAATGTTTAATGAAAATGTAACTCAGAAATGTAACTAAGAAATAACAAAAATCTCAATCTTTTTCTATAAATACTTTAAGTATTCAAGATAATTTTAAGATTCAAGATGATTTATGTCATGTTTCATTGCGAGAGATTAGTTGTTCTAACCATAAATAAGTATTTAATTTTATTTGTGCTATCACTTGTTTTATTTGTATTTATATTTATTTGTAGTCTTAATAAAAATTTAATTTAACTGCATTTAATAAACTGTGTCGCAATGAAATTTTACATAAACATCTTAAATATTTAAAGTACTTATAGAAAAAGATTGAAATTTTTGTCATTATTTCTTAATTACATCTTTATTAAGCACATTTCTACTTTATATTTAAATAATTTTTGATACAAGTTCTAAATTGCAAAATTTTTTGCATTACTTTTAAATACGATCTATAATCTATAATTTTTTTCATTTTAAATAAAAAAATAGTGGATTTAATACATCCTTAAAAAAAAAAAGAAAGGTTTTCTTTATAGAAACTGCAATTATTTTTCGCATGCAAATATTGTTTGTATTATTTTTTTAATTATTTATATGTATAATTGCTATAATTTGAATCTTTCGTGTGTTATAAATCTAGTTATTATACATCTAGCAAAGTTGCCATTGCGCATTATATTGGTGTCAAATTATCTTTAATTCTAATCTGAGGCAATAGATCTGTAAATATTACTGTAATGCATCTCATGGATTTATTGTTTCGAAATGGATTGGCTCGGATGGATTTAATGTAAATGTTTAACTCTGAAACATATATATAACTATCTATCGATTTATTATGCGTACAAGAATACGTAATGAAATCTGCGTAATATGTAATGAAACCTGTGGAATAAAGCGATTATCGTTATCTTATCATTATCGACATATTAAACGATATGGTTATTTATCGTTACATTTTGATGTTACATTAAATAATAATAGAATAATAATTACAAGATAGTTACAAATTGTTTGACATTTATAGGAAATTTTAACTTGAGATAAGTACGAAAAAGAATTAGAAGAAATATGAAAAAAAAAAAGATAGGAAACATATTATAACAAGAATGTGCTCGATAAAAAAGCATGATGAACTTTTGCAAAAAATTGCTTCTTTAAATCTGGTAAACATATTATTGTTTACTTTTTCCTGACATTTCTGCCAAGTATTTTATACATGAGCATATATTATATGAATACGAAAGAAAACCTGGTAATTATTACCGGGATTTAATGATTCAATGAAGTTCTGATAAACATAATTCTATTATTCTTCTTTGTATTGAATCAATCGTATATGTATATAATACCTAATGAGCTATATAAATGAAATAACATATAAATAACATATGTCTGAATGAATATATATACTCTTTTTGATTATCAATTATTATAAATAATTTTTAGTCTATATACAGAAAATCATAAAATTTTAAGAAAAATAAACAATAAAAAATATTTTTATTGAAGTTTGGATTTTCAGCAATCTTACATATAAGCAAGATCTTTAAAAATAAATAATTGAGGACAATCATAAAAACCATACACAAATTTACATGCATTTTATAATTCATTAGATTTTTTGAATTTAATACAATTACATAAACAGCGAAAAAGGAAAAAACGATAAAATGAAGTTATGAGTAAAATGTTGAAAATGTTTGGAATGTGAAACTTTTAGTTAATTTCATTTTCTTCGTGGTTCTCATATCTCATAAATGGAAATGGAAAGGGGCAGGATGTTCATTTCGTATTAAATGTATTTATATTTCATAGCTATCCATATTTATCGATAGTTTGTCTTCATATCACTTAAAATGAAATAATATAAAGCATAAGATCTATAACAAACAGAGCTTTTCATACAAACTTTTATATCAACTATTTTAAAGTTTATCGATTACATAAAAGTAAAATGCAATATTGAAATAATATTCCTAATTGTATCAAATTAAAAATAAACGTAATAACGTATAGACGATATAACAAATATTTAACCGATATTAATAGATATTTACTTATATTAAATATTAAATATTTAACGGATTATATCACTTCAATTAAAAGAATATTAAACAAAATTCACTATAAGTATAATTTTATAAGAGTAGAGAATGTAAATATTCAATATTTACAGTCCATTTAATATTAATGTTATTTTAACAAATATAATACTCAGACTTATTAAAAAAATATATAGGATGAAAGGTAATTAAAACGGGATGATTAACATTAATGATTAATATTAATTAAAATAATTATATTATAATAAAAAAGCAGCAATGTACTTATAATAATGTAATTATAATAATGTCTCTTATAAAAAACGCTGACAAAATGAACAAACGAAAAGGGATCAAATTCAAAGTGATGTATTAAAAAGGATGTCGCATCTCAAATGTACAAATCGCAAAAGTTGCAAGATTTCCAATGACTAGCAAATCAGATTATCCAGCATCGTGGGATTGTAACGTTACAATTAGTCAATTTCCATTGAGAAGTAATTGCGCGGTAATGATGGAAAATGTAGTTTGCGCGATTAGTAATGTCGGGTTTCGCAGAGCACCCGACATTCATTTGCCAAACGTATCGTCGCAATATTTGAAATACGAAGAGTATGATATTGTAGCTTAATGCAAATATATGAATTATTGCCAGTTATTGTAGGTAGATTCGCCTGACGCAACGTTGACGCGTAACGTAACACGTTGATTTATGCGTTTGCTCGCAATCACGGGAATTTTGATGGCGCTTTTAAAAAAAATTGTTTGAAAAAAATATAGATTGTTTTTTTTTTTAATTTTTTCTTGGAAATCGACGATCTTAAATCCTCTTTTATCATGATTAAATATTTGAACATTACCAATGTTTTGAGGATTAAACTTTGTATCGAAAAAAAAAAGATATTTCTTTCTTTAAAATAGAAAAAAATTAAGTAGATGTAGATGTCAAGTGTGATAAATTCAAGAATTTATGTTATCAAAGTGTTTATACTTCAAACTTTGAAGTTAACAATAATCTTCAACAAAGTTGCGGTACTTTGGCTTATTAAAAACAGGGTATTAAGAACAGGTAATCGCTTATATTATTAAGATTAAGAATAAGAAGATAGAGATATTTACGGATGTATCTATTTTTATAATTTTTATACTTACAATAAAAAAATTATGAAGAATTTACAGATTATTCTACTAAAGCGCATTTAAAAATAATACAAAAAGTTTAAAGGCAATTTAGAACCTGGATTAAAATATTATTTAAATAAATAAGTAGAAGTGTGATAATCTAATAGAAATGTAATTAAGAAATAACAAAAATTAAAATTTTTTTATATAAATACTTAAAATATTCAAGATATTTATTAAAATTTCCCTGCAATGCAATGATTACTTATTCTGTAAATAAAAATTTAATTTTTATTTACAAAATTAACCTCTCTGCACTACATAAATCATCTTGAATAGTTAAAGTAAAGAATTAAAATTTTCGTCATTATTTCTTACATCTTATATTTCTATTAAAGCACATGTCTACTTTATATTTAAATAATTTTGATCCAAGTTCTAAAGTACCGTAATTTTTTTGTATTATTTTCAAATCAAATGATCTAGAATAATAATGTATAATTTTTTTCATAAATAAAAGTAGACGTAATATTATCCTTGACAAATTTTCATATCCCATTTATTTATAATTCAGCGACGAGAGAAGATGACTGATCGTGCCGTCGTGCGCGATATATATTTGGGTTTTGATTATCGTTGCGTGGCTCCGCGCAATCCCGCGTGCCTTTCGTGCCAAGCGAGCAAGCCATCGGCCGCTAAATAACGAATGAGGATACAGGTTGCTCCGGGCTGGAATTACGTGCGCGTAGTAAATACCGGAAGTCCCCCCGCGGGAAATCGCTCGAGAGGGTCGTCCCGGACGTATAACGTCGTTACGCTCGTAATTTCTGAAGCCGCGTGCTATCGCGCTTTCGATGAAAGGGATGGATCTCACGAGCGACGATATCACCGGCGCAATTTGTTTATCTTTGTTCATTGAACAAACATTCGCGGCACACGTGTGTGATCCCCATGTGCACGTCCAAACCGAGAATCCGGATCTCGGTACACGGCTTGTAAATTAATGAAATGCGTAGGCACGAATGAAACGCGCACAGACGAAAGCTCTCGCTTTTACGGATGACAGTTCAGCATAATCCATCAGCAACATTTTTTTTTTCCTCTGTCACGCAACAAAGACTATCTCTGCGATTCGTCTAAATTGAAGCCGGCAAATTTTTAAGCCTTCTCTCATCGAGAGCAGATCGAAGCAACCCAATTTCAGCGCCGTCAGCAAAAAATAAAATCGCCAACGAATGCAACGAACTCTCGTTTCCGGTGACAATCGGCGTAACGAGCTACGCTCCCCTCGTTCGATCATTGGCAACCCTCAACTGTTCTGACTCGTCTGCTTTTGCATTAGATAAAATTTGCGTCTTATTGTTAGTCGGAGCCATGATTTCCGCGTGTGCGAGTGCATTTCTCGTGTGTGTGTCGAGCTTGTGCTACTTCCCGCGGGTCTCCCGCGGGAAGTAGCACAAGGGATCGGTTATTGGGAAACTTCGGGGCGGTTTATGGGAGCTGCAACTGCAACGGCGGAGCCGTCCGCCGTGAGCGAAGTAATGGCGGCTTTGCAACGACCGCCCTCGGAGATGTACGAAAGTTCGTCGCGTCTCTTTCTCTTTTAACGCGCGACACGAGCTGTCGGACCGACAGAATTACTGCGGCAACAATATCGCGGATATATACATACAGAGTGGCCCCGAACGTTTTGGCCAGACTTTGAAATTTTATTGGAAAGTTGATTCTGAAAGAAAGATCTTCTGTAACATGGGTCGGAAAATGCTGCCTTAAAAAGTTAGCGTTCAAAAACTTTGTGAAATCACAATTATTTTATACTTTATTTTTGCAAACATCATGAATTACTTTTTTGACAAAGAGTAAAAACAAACAGTTGTAAACAACGAAACAACGAAAAGTTGCAAAGAATTAAATTATCTTTCAAATAAGAGCAAAATGATCGTAGTAAGTTTTAAAATAACTAATTTCAAATATACAGGAAAGTATATTTCTTCGGCTATCGATTTTACTAAAAAAAAAAAAAACTTTACTTTTCTATAGTTTAAACCTATCACTATAAAAGGATGAAACAAAGAGTAAGATTATTAGCATGTGAGGAGAAGAGATAAAGTGACAATGGCTCCCTATTGCAAACAAGCGATATACCGTTTTACGTATGCGCTCCCTTTGAAACTGATTATTTTAAAATCTATGAAACATATTGCAATTACTTTACTCTTATTTGAAAGACAATTTAATTTTCTACAACTTTTGTTTCGGTTTTAATAAAAAATGCATACTCTGTCTGATATTTGCAAAAATGTATAAAATAATCCTGATTTCAGAAGTTTTTGCACGTTAACTCTTTAAGAAAGCATTTTTCGATTCATTATTCAGACTCAAATTTCCCATAAAATCTCAAAGTCTGGCCAAAACGTTCGGGGCCACCCTATATGTACATATGTATACACGTATACACGGGGGGAATCCCCGTAAGGCTTGTTGAGAAAGTAGTTACAGGGCACCGCCAACTCGTTCGCGCAAATGACAAATTTCCCAGCGACCTATCCTTTCGTGTACCATACGCGTTTATTTCTTACGTCCGAACTTCGTTCTACGGAGAATTTCGTTGCGTCTCCTAGATAAATACCGCCTTCGCCGTTTTAACGAAATGGAGAAATGGTATTATTAGCTTATTGGAGCAAATTTAAAACAAAGTCGAACGACGTTCCCACTGCTGTTTGTTTTACCCCCGTTTGTACCACGTAAAATTATTTTTATAGTTACACGGCATCATTTACGAGAATTATAATTTTATTACGTACGGAAAGTTAATGAAACTTTCCCTCGCAAGTTTCTATCATCGAGCGTGCACGGGTCCTTTATTGTCGCCGTTCTAAAAGTTAGTGTTACTCTAATTGATAATTAGGAGCAGCGCGCGCTGTTAAACGCCCACCTTTTTAATTCACACTTGTTTTTACTTCTCACCTCACGCCGATCTCCTCTCAGCTTGCTTTTACTCATTCGCGTAGCGTTGTTTCTAACAAATCTAATCAACAATCGGAAGAAAAAAAAATGCGACTGCAGAGTAAAAATATAAGAAGAAAAATCTCGATAAAAATAGAAAATTTAATATTCCATAATTTAAAGCATACGCCTGAAGGTGTCGGTTGACACAGTTAGTGAATCCGAGTGTAAAGTTCTAGAATCAAATTGGGTCCTCGATTAAAAAATATTATTTTTCATATCATTGTTACCTGTAATTTCTGCTTGGAGTCGGCTGGATGAAGTGGCTCGGGACCGGTTTTGGACTGATCACCTTGCAGACTTTCGATGTTCTTTGTACGTATCAGCTTGCCAAAGAGCTCGAGGCCCTTCTCCCGGTCCAGGTCGATCTTCATTTTTCTGCGAAATTAAGAAGGAGCGAGTTATTCACCCACGCACCCGAAAGGAAACGAAGGCAGCCTCCAGCGCAGTAACAGGGAGGCGCTTGTGCTCGATGTTTTTCGCAAACATTCCGGTAACATTACGGTAACGGACAGGTAAAATAAAATATTACGCAGAAAATACATCGGCGAGGGGCGGGTCCGGATAATATAACGGAATGAGGATCACAACAAAAGCGTAGCGCCTGTCGGCCGTCCGTTCTGATGGAAATGGAAGAAAATAATTAGAGAGCAAATATCCGCGGGAATGTGTGAACAGTCAGCCGGCATTTGTTGAACGAGGATTAAAGAGACATGTATGCAGTCGGAGATAATTACGCCGTCCAGATGAGATAAAATTGAGCGTACTTGTCAAGCGTTTCTAAGTTTGCTCGTCAGAAGTGCATACTGAAAGAATGCATACATATAAAGCGTAAAAAGTAATTAAAAACGGCACCGATGTGTGAGATTGTTATTTCCAGCAAGGAGATAATAATATCTGTCTGAACATAAGCCCTTTACGAGAATTAAAAATAGCTTCTGCGGCTTAGTAGTTTAAAGGTTATCAAATAAACAAGGGTAAATAAGTCAAAAAAGTAGCTTGTTATGAAACTTCCGGATTGTTTTTAGTATTCCAAGTAATCGAAAAATAGTATCTCAATAGAGAAAAACATTTTGCATCTAAAAATAATATTTTGAACGGAAAGTTAAAAATTTTTTCACAAAATGTTTGTCACGTAAGATAAAATATCTTTCAATAATAAATGAGAAAGTTCATGGAACGAAAGATAGTAACATACAGAAAAATAATAATATAAATAAGAACAATTTTAAAGTTTACATGTTTGACAAATAATATCCATCGGATGAATGTGTATGAAGAGTTATAAAAAAATACTGTTAACTTAAGAGTTTCATCCGTTTTCCTGCTCAAAAACGCAAAATGTTAGTTGCGAAAAAATGGCCAACTCTGCCGCATAATCGAACGCAAATCGGCCGTTTCCGGAGACAAACGAGCTCTGAAAAAAATGAAAATCGTCGACATATGCGGCCCTCTTTTCTCTGGCTCGCTTGTTCCCAGGGTCGGAAATCGCGCACAGGAATTATCGATTTATTATCCGGCGACGTTGCTCCTCAACGGCGCAGCTCTTTCACGTTTCTCTGACGGTGTCCCCGCGGGTACACCCGAGAATGAAAAATTATCATTACCCTTGTCCTCATCCCGTGAAATTATTCTTCGATAACTGCCGAAATCGTGACATCAAGATCGATCATTCCTCGATCATTCCACCGCTATAAATGTTAAATAATTTAAATTATTAATAATTAAAACATTATTAATATTCATATTAATTTTTACAACAAAAATTCTTCGATTAATGAAAATCTGAGGCCGGAAAGTACTAATATTTTTAGAATTAAGAAAGATTTAGCAATTAAGAAAGATTTATTATTTTAAATTTTATTCCCTAAAAGTAACAATAGTGAAGTATTACTATAGGATATATTATAAAAACTTTTAATTTTAAATATATTAGAAAAAATATTATGACGAATGATAAAATGGTGGCTTGATGAAGAGGTCGATATTAAATTAAAATTCTGCTGAAGAAATTATTTTCTATAAAGCAACGCGGGTGGAAATGTCAAATGGAGATTCTGTGAAAGTTCCGGTGAGACGATCACGATTATCGAAATCGATTATTACTCGTCCTCCTACTAGCACTCGAACTCGATTAAAATATCGCATTAGTAACACTGTCATTTATAATGCACTCTTCACGACAGATTATGCAAACAACGAATAGGCGGGATAATCGCCGAACGAGTGAAATGGGAAGATACTCGGTGTATTAAAGAGAATAAATTATTCAGGGGATACGCACGAGGCGAGGTTGAAAGTAAATTTTACTTGCCCCTCACCGAGGATAATTTTCAAGATATGCTCGGAATTTTACCCAAGAATCGCCAGGAGAGAAACTGGCACGTGCGACACGTCGTGCTGACAAGTCACGAAATCCGTATCGTCCCGGAACGAACGCGCGAAATTTCTCAGCAGGGATGCAAGTTGCGCCAAGAGGAACCCTTACGACCCAATTGAGATTTTAAAAATATGCGGATCTCGGCAAATCTAAAGGTATGTAAACGTAACGATCAGAAGTTTCTTCGTATCTATAAAATAAAATGTAAGATCTTTGTCAGAACTTGTCAGAAAGCAATAATTTCTCTTTTTATTAAAACAATAATAGATAAACGTTTTAAAATTAAGAATCTATTATGAAATTTGTATGTAAAAGATACAAGGAAAATATAAGGAAAATTATTGATTGAAATATGTATTATATCAATGCAATTTTTCTTACATTTTCTTCGTATTCTGCTTTTTAGAAATTTCATAATAATTTTTAATTTTAAAATGACATGCTTATCATTAAATGAAAATATATAAAAACCGAATTTTTTTAATTCCGTAATAATTCCTCTCTCTCTCTCTCTCTCTCTCTCTCTCTCTCTCTCTCTCTCTCTCTCTCTACTCTACTCTCTCTCTCTCTCTCTCTCTCTCTCTCTCTCTCTCTCTCTCTCTCTCTCTCTCTCTCTCTCTCTCTCTCTCTCTCTCTCTTGTGTGTGTGTGTGTGTGTGTGTGTGTGTGTGTGTGTGTGTGTGTGTGTGTGTGTGTGTGTGTGTGTGTGTGTGTGTGTACATTCCGCGTCAAATATTGAGGCGGCTGCTAAGCTCCGACATAAAAATCTTACGAAAGTCAACTTTCCCGATTCTTTAATATTCATGAGAACTTCTCTCCTCTTCTCACTCCATTAACGTGTAGAAGTAGTTCTCAATAATGCAGACACGATTTTGTCCCGATGTAATAGCGGGTTTGCCGCGAAATCGACCGACACGGCCGCATAATCGCACCTTAACGTGGCAGAACGCAATTAACCCTTTTGTGTGCTACTCGTGATATCTCGCGTTGGAACATCAGCCATCCCTTTACGTAACTTCTCTCGTGTTAGGCCTTGTCATCGCGCTGTGGGATCGCTTTCTACCGCAATTTTGCGAGATACAAGTGTATCGTTCCCAATTGAAGAGACTTCTCGTTGACACAATTTAACGCATATTTTTATCTTTACCAGACGAGTACTACCTTTTCCTTGCATTATATTTTTCAATTAAATATAAAATTTAAGTAACTTAATCTATTAATTAATATTGCGAATTATATACATATCTATTTCATATTATGAATAACTATTATATGACATGAAGAAAATTACGTAATCGTACATCTTGAATATTTAATCGGTCATGTAATATTTCAGAAAAGAAAACATGATATATAAAATATTTTTACACCTGTATTCTTCTTGTATTCTTCCGCGAAAAACATGTACAATACGTATGACAAATATACATAAATTATCAAAATATTCGATTTTCACAATGATAACTGTTCACGAAGCGCAGATACTACAAACGCATGCTATTTATTTTTTTAAACAGAAAAAATAATCAATATAATATTGTTATACTATTAATCTCTTGATATACACAATATATACAACTATTAAAACTATCCTCGTGACAGCCGCTCACAAAATAATGCAGCGAGAGAACCAATGGACATCTCGGAAAAAGAAGGTCAAAAAATGTTAAAATGAAAAAAATAGTAAAGATACAAAATTTCAAAAAAACGTTAAATGCTAAAAAATGTTAAAACATGAAAAAAATACATTAAATGTATGTACATATAAAAAAAATTATTCCTACGATAGTATTTTGTTTTAATACAAACTGCAAAAATAAATTTGAAAGACGTACATTTCTCGATATTTAGTTATATAGAATAAAATTAAAGAAAATACAAAGATTAATATAATGCAATTATTGCGCGTTATAATATATCACAGTTAATTAGAAAATATGAGAGTAAGCGCGACGGCAACATTGTGTCGCAATTCGTTATCACTGCTCTTCGACTTTCAGAGAATGTCAGCTTTAAAAAGAGACGATAATACGGTTCGACACGCGCGAACGCGCAGCAACCGATAGGTTTAAAAACATCAGCCAAGCGGAATTTTCCCGGTATGGGAAATTGCAATTTGCAGAATCTGCGAGAGGAAATAGTATCGCGACTTTGTTCTATCGTAACGCGATCTCCCCTGATGACATCACACGCGCGAGTTTTTAATTAAGAACGGCAAAATATACGGTTTGTGTCGCTGATTATCGCGCGGAACAGTCGCAACAAAATAGAAGCTCATCCGCTTTCTTTGACTATTAAAAAGACTATAAAAGATAATTTTCTCAGTTAAAACAATAAAAAGTCACTATAATCTTCAAATTCTTTTTTAATAAAAAACTAATGACTTTTTATTGTTTTCTTTTTTAAATTTTTACGATTACTTATAAAGATTTTCTTATTCAGGTCAGAGCAATGTCTCAGAACTATTCGATCAGCAGGATTAATAATCAATCTATCAAGATATCCTTCTTTCCTTCTCATATTTATTCTTTTTAACGAGAGAATGTACTTATAGGGGCCTTTTCCCTTTAAAATTGATTAAATTTTCAATTTTTCTTTTTTTACAGTTTCTCGTAGTTTAAAGTCTTTAAAAATACATTTTTAAAAGAATATGTAGAAATTTTGAAAATTGGCGCTTGTGTAATTGCATAAAGAGAACTAGATGCACACAACGTGCATTTGTAATAAACGCTTTTCTAATGGCCAGTAAAAATCTATTTTTCTTTTTATTATTCTTGATAAGATGAATGATTTGAAATTTATGTCAGAAATATTTTAGATGTGCTCTTATGAAAAAGAATGCTGAAATTAATTGAAAATGTTGAAAAAAATTAGAAGAGCTAGATTGAATCGTCCAAATTGACCCAAGAAAAGATAACATCATAAGGATTCAATTTTCAAATGAAGAACATATTAGCGCAAATACATGCATCAGCAAAAAAATTAAAAACATCAAGTTT